TTAGCATTCTTGTCTATATTACACCTCAAAGAATCTATCATGATTGATGATGGTAAGTTTGACCTTCCAGAGTGAGATACAACCAAGCTGTCCTGTGCATAATGCACATGCTCACTTCTTAAGGTTCTAATTATTAAGAACTCAGAATTTTGTCTTTTTCCCATTGAGTATGCACCCATATACCATGGGCATCCCTCCGCCATACACTTCACAATGATCTTTTGTTGATTGTTCTTCATAAATTTGTATGAAAACTTCACAGCAATACTGTACTTATATAGTGCTTGTCTAAGGGCCACTGCATTAGGAAAAATTTGTCCTTCTCCAATAACCACACCCTTCCACTTTGTTGAATTCATTTCTGGAATTGGGGTTGGCATCATTTCTGAACCACATGGCAATGATAGTGGGTCTTCACTAACCACATTAGGTGGAGACATGGACAGTGCATCTAAACCTCCAAACAAGTCTTCCATCCTACATAACACAATAGGTCAAGGGGTCGTTAATGACAACCTTCGATCACTATAATAACAACTTATGCACAACAATTGACAATAGTTAATATTACTTCGAAATTTAAATAACACAACTTACACATGTTGCTATTCTATTACAACATCCCTTGTTAGTTGTGAATTTTGATCTCCATTTTCTCCTATATATACATGACCACTGTCACCATTGAAGTTAATCAAATGTTCTACTCCTTCATCATCTACAAGGTCCATAAATATACACTCATCAAAGGTTACTGTGAATTTCATAACCATTCCATTACTTTCTTTTCCCACAATTGATGCTACCATTGTTCTAAATTCTCCATATGATGTCCCTTCTTTTATCATTCTTATTCTCACACCACCTCCAACATACTGCGTTTCACCTTCTAGACCATTAATAAATTGTCCTCCTATATGAAGGTAACAAAACAATTGCTTCCCACTTGAAATTGCCATCCTTGATATCAACCTACCACAATCACTTGTTAATAACAAGTCATACAGTTGTATTAAAAACTTTCGATGTACCCATTAACAACACATTTAACTATTGCATTTGAGGGGTTACAATAATTAATATCTGTTATTTTGCACTCATTTTCATCAGCAACACAGCATCAATGACTGAAAAACAGAGCATCATTCACGAAAAACAGAGCATTGTTTTCTAACCCTAGCCACACAAAACCACACCTAAGATGATTAAAACTGCATATGACTAAAATGAGCCTCCCTTGATATTTCAAGTGAGTTGAACCACATCCTTAATACCCACATATCCACACCCAATCAAATTTTCAGACCAACATTAAACTTGAAACTGGTTGTTAATAACAAGTCATTTAGTTATATTAACAACCTTCGATGTACTCATTAACAACATATTTAACAATTGCATTTCAGGGGTTACAATAATAAATATATGTTATTTTGCATTCATTTTCATCAGCAACACAGCATCAATGACCGAAAAACAGAGCATCATTCACGAAAAACACAGCATTGCTTTCTAACCCTAGCCACACATAGTAAAACCACACCTAAGATGATTACAACCACATATGACTAAAATGAGCCTCTCTTGATATTTCAAGTGAGTTGAATCACATCCTTAATACCCACATATCCACACCCAATCAATTTTTCAGACCAACATTAAACTTGAGACTGGTTGTGTACAAAAGAAGAGAAATGTTGTTAATGATGAGACCTACCAAGAAGATGAAGAAATAATATAGCTTGCCTGCAATGGAGTACCAACGCATACCTCCCTTCTTTCTTTCAGAAGCTTCTCTTCCTCGTGCATGCATAACAAACAAGCGCACTAAATGAAGCCAATCAGCGTCTCTCCCTCTCTTCTTTCCTTTTTCAATGGGTGAGGGCAAGTAGGTAATATCACAATTGAAATTATTTACCCAGAGGTTCCTGGGGACTTAGGAGGAATTTGGGGATTTCATGGGACCTTCTGGTAGTAAATTCTCTTCTGTGGGACTCTACAGTAATTTTCCCTTTCTCTTTCTATTAACATGCCATACACTTTTTTTTTTTTGCTAGAGAGATTCGTTTACATTTAATTTTAAAAGTTACTTCTCCTTTGTGTATAACCTAATTGTTAAATTAATTTGGGTTACAAATATAAGATCTATTTATTATATTTATCATTTTTTTAAAATTATTTCTATTGATACTCCTTCAATCATAATCAAGTAGAAGTGAGAGGAAGATATTGAGAAAGATGATTATGGTATTTAAAAAAATATTATATTTCTTATAATTAACTAATTTATCTAATTTATTTAGTCTAATTAAATTAATTAAATGGATCTTATATTGAGAACCGAAAGAGTATTACATTATATCATTTTTTTTTTTGCTAAAGCATAAGTATCCTCCTATTAGAAGCAATCCTATTTGAGGTACTGTCAGGCACTAAATGTGGGCACCTCTCTTAGAGGGGATTCGAATCTTGATTCATCACGTTGTGAGGGATTAGCCCTTTCTGTTAGACCCAACTCACATTGGTTACGTTATATCATGTTGTTCAATGAAACCGGATATTTCACAACTTCGGCCCACAGTTGTTCAATGCAAGGGGCAAAAGGAAGAAAGTAACTTGGAGATAGCGTGTATAAATTCTTTGACCTCTCATGTAACTTGACCCAGTGTATTTTACGCACCTTCATTGGATCCGTGGCCTTTTAACTCCAAAAAGAATAAAACTCAGAAAAACAAACAATTAGAATTGCAAGAGTATTTTCAAAACAAGATCATTAATAAATCATTGCTAATTTCTCCAAAACAACATAAATTAAAAAGCATGAAATCACTCCCAAAATTTGTCCTATAAATTGAAACAAAGGGAGAGGAATATTTCAGATTTCACTAAAGTTAAGGCTCAATTTTAGCTCAAAAATTTCACGTAAAAATTATAGATATTCATAAGCTTTTTTCATGAGTCAATATCTCCACAAAAGTGTTAAAAAAAGGTGCAAATTTTAATAGTTAATGTGAGAATTTTTGCTCCTTTTTTAATACTTCTGCGATAGTATTGATTCTAAAAATTTTGAATACTTACAGCTCCTATATTTCAATATTGTTTTGTTTGCCTAAAAGAAATTCAATATTTCTTATCTCCTACCCAAAAACTATTTTTGGACTTTCGATGTTGAAATACTCTATAGCTTAGTGTTTTTCACCTTCATTCCATAAGTGTGAAAGCGAAATTTTATTTAAAGAGAAATTTTCTGTGACTTATACATAATGAACTCTTTTCAAAATTTTAGATCATATATGGGACATGGATATGATTCTTTAAAAAAAAAAAAAACAATTCCACTAGTGATGACATGGATGAGGCCCTTGTTTGGTTTGAGGGGAGCGAAAATATATGGACTTACACATACATATGCTCCCTCCACTTTGTTTGGTTAGAAATTTTAAATTTATAAAAAAAGAGTGTAAAACTTTAGAAGTGCCCATTATTTAGTACTACTCATACTTAACAAATGAAGGATATTTTGAGAATAATGTCACTAATTAATCAGTATTTCTTTACAACATTTTATATTGGAAAACTTGAAACCACTAAAAAAAATCCAGTAACAAATACTACATCCGATCCTAATTATAAAAGCTAGTTAACTAATTTGAGGAGATTAAGGAATGCAGTTAAGTTAATCATTTGTAATAAATATGTGTTGTCTTCCCTAAAATATCTTTACCAATCAAGTGTATTGGTTAGAACTACCATTGTTAGAAGGACTACCTTGGAAAAAATGTATAAATATTAGAGACAAAGTGTATTAGAATCTTATATTTATTATCAAAATAAAAGTCAAACGAGGTCTTATATTAAGGATTGAAGGTAGTATCTTGTAAATGGAAATTTATGTATTATTATCTAATATGTTAATATTGTTTTATCTGGCTAGAAGACTTCAATATTGTTGGGCTTAAAAAAAAAATTGTTGGACTTTAGATAGAGAATTACCATGTAGAATAGTTTTTTTTTTGGTCATTCATTAAGAGTGAACAAGAAATTTTTATTGGGAAAGACGCTCATATTTATTACTTTTTCAGTTCTTAATATAAGACCCATTTAATTAATTTGATTAGATTAAGGAAGTTAGATAAGTTTGTTAATTATAAGAAATGTGACACATTTTTCCTAAAACACCATAACCATCTTTCTTAATACCCTCTTTCTCTCTTTTACTTGATTATGGTTGAGGGAGTATCTATAGAGGTAATTTAGAGAAAATTGATAAATATAATAAATGAGTTTTATATTTAGAACCAAAACTAACTTAACAATTAAGTCGTATATATTAAGAACCGGAGGAGTACTTGATAGTAGCTCCAACAAAATTACGTCTAATTAGATAATACATTTTTTTTACAAAAAAAAAAAAGAAAACAAAAAATTTTATGCAAGAGATATTAATTTTTTTCCCGCAATCCAAATATCATCCTTGGCTTGAAATGAGCCTGGGATTTTGAATTCAACTTTGTATTTATCTCATATTGTGCTATCCACCATTTTATTAAAACAAATTGCAAATAGCCCCTTCTTTTTTTCCTAATCTTCAACTGATTATCCTCGTGCCCAATAATAATAAAGCACGTGCCAACAAAATGACAAGCGAATCCATCACGGAATCATCCCCTCGCTTTCCACATTCTCTATTTCTCCGCATCCACAGATTTTAGATTTCAAAAGTATGGCCCACTCTTACGTGTCCATTTCTTAAGGCCTAAGATAAAATATCCAGCTGGGAAATTTCACCTTGCGTGCTCCCTCACTTTACCCCACTAAAGTCAACGGAGACTTTTCGACTGACAATTGTGATTCTGAAATTTGATTGGCGACACGCTGGCAACTTAATGGACTATAAATATTTCCGCCTCACTCGATCCCATCCAACGCGCCAACGTTGACCACTACGAAGCGATCGATTGTACTGTCGCTACTATATAACAAGGGGAAATCAGAAAACTGAATCCACTCTGCGTATTGAATTGAAATTGAATCAAAACGAAAGGGAGATAGAGCGAGGAGAGAAATGGCGGCAATAACCGGTGGTATTCAGGACGTTCCAGGCAGCCAGAACAGCCTTGAGATCGAAAGTCTTGCTCGCTTTGCTGTTGAAGACTACAACAAAAAGGAGGTTCGTTCTTAATCTCATTATTATTGTTACTCCTCCTCCTCCTCCTGCCGATTGGGTTTTCCCTTACTGAAATTCGAGGAGGAAACTGAAATAGGGAGTTATTTTGGAACTGGGTTGGCCGTTGATTATCTGTCTCGGCGTGGATTTGATGGTGTTAAGTTCTTGTTCGAATCAAATTTCTGAATCCAGATTACTCTTGTATTATCCAATTTGTCTGATTGAAGATATTTATATTGTTGGTTCATATTTCTAGTAGCACAATTGGGATTCTCCGTTCTACATTTCACAATTGGAATAAAAGATCACGTAGGTGGAATATTCTCCATTTATATTGTTAGTCTTATTCTATTGCAGAATGCTCTTCTGGAGTTTCAAAAGGTGATAAGTGCAAAAGAGCAGGTGGTTGCTGGCACCATGTACTACATCACGCTGGTGGCAAGCGATGGTGGGAAGAAAAAGGTTTATGAAGCCAAAATTTGGGTTAAGCCATGGCTGAACTTTAAGGAAGTTCAGGAGTTTAAGCTCGTTGGTGATGCCCCTGCTGAGTCTTCTAGCTAGGTATTTGACTGCACTGCACACTGTGCTTTGGTTGGATTTAAAGCTTGAAATGTTTGCTATTATTCATGTTTGTATTCTGAGGGAACCATTTCTGGTTGTTTTCAATATTTGTAACCCTCTGATAACTAGCGTTTGAAGAAAGTTTTAAAGAACGAAAGGCTATGGAATTTGCTATTTTTTTTAATTAATGGAACTGTTATTCTAATGGAACAAACCAAAATTATGCCTTTCACTATAAAAAGTCGTGAAAGCAGAACTCTGTCCTCATACAGAAGACTTGGATGTTCATGACATCGAGAAGAATAACCTTGTCATTTATTATGCCTTTGCTCCATTAAGAACAAGGGAGTAGGATTAGATCGCTAACATACACCTATCTGTTGCATCTTTATGGAACTTGCATAACATATTTAAAATAGGCAAACTATTTTGCTGTTCTTGCTGTGCTAAAGTAGGCATAAGCCTAGAACTCGATCTTGGCATGGCCTTAAGATTGCGAAAAAGGAACAGCTTACGGGATGAATTAGTGTCTACGCCTAAAGATTAATCCTTTTGATGAAGATAAATTGGACAATATGTTTTACACCTACTTCAAATTGAAAGCCTCATTACATGCTCTTAATCACCCATACCTTTGAATGTTTTTCTGCTGCTCAATAACATGACCTGTATGATTTTGCTTTAAACAATATTAGCTCTAATGGCCTTATGTCATGATTTTTGCATTTCATTGCTTTCCTTTGTTTGATTTTCCAATGTCAAGCACTTCGTCGGCCCTTAAGATAGGATTTAATTGGGAAGTTGATATTGGTCCTGTATGTAAAACCTATTTCACATATTTATTAATATTTTTTTTTTTGAATTAACCTTGTTAATATTTCTTAACAATAATCAAGGAGGAGAGGGAGGGGGTAATTAAGAAAGATACTTAGGATACTGATTTAACTAATATCTTTAATTTATTCAAATTAATTAATTAGGTCTTACATTAAGGATCAAATAAGTATAATAATTTTGGTTTTACCATCTTAATTTTATTCATTGCACAAAGAATTTCTGGTTGTAATGGACCTCTCTTTTACATCTGAATTTGGGGTTTGATGTGCCTTCAATGCATCTTGTTTAGTAGGGTTGATTAAAAATGTGCTTTGATTTTTCCCTTTTCAGGTTAATGAAGACTCTGTGTGGCTAACTTGGCTTGAAGGTGGAGTTACCAGGATGTCAAAAGCGTGTAATGTATGGAATAAAAGTGGCTAGGTAGTTGCCTTTGGAATTTATATTCAAGTCCTTGCTTATTATGAAATATGTATGCTTTTGTAATCCTTCTATAGATTCAAGTACAAGAGATATGGTGTATTATGCTTAAATAGTTGTAATTGATGCTCCGTATGTTAGGGGCCACTTCTGTACGTACCATCCATATTATATCACCAGTGGATTTTTTTTTTTTTTGTGTGGGGAAATCCATATGGATATTCCATGTATAATCTGAAATCTTGGAAGAAGTCATATTATGTACAAGTCAGGAACAGTATTTCTCAATCTCTTTGTAGATCTTTGGACCCACTGCCTTAACATTTAAAGGATCTAAATTTAACAAAATTTATAATAAAAAGCTTTAAGAACTCTGTGATTTCTAATGAATAGAATAGACAATACTGTCATTAAACAAAAGGGACAAAGAACAGCTCAATTTTTTATAGTTAGAAAATTTGACGTTCTTGTTATGACTTTTGAGAAATTCAAGGTGTGATTTTCCAATCTCACGAGTTGAGAAGTAATGTGGCAAGAAATTTAGAATTTGTTAATGATAAGTCTAGATTTTTTTTATGGAAATTATGGAGCAAGAACTGTGAAACAATATAATTATAGTATATATTCTTGGAGTTTATGGAAGTATTCGTTTGTAACTTCCTAGTGCTAAAACGATGCAACGTGGCAAGAAACCTAAAATTTGATGGTAATAGACTAATAGATCACCGGAAAAAAAAAATTATAGTGCTAATCTTACTAGACTCTGAAGTTTTAAGATTCTAGGAAGCGTAAGAAATTACGAACTTACATTCTGACCCAAAAAAAAAAAAAGGGTCTGTTTATCCGTGTTTTTGTCCACTGATGGCTAAAATTAAGGGTACCTGGTCCTTGAAAATAATTTGGATTGTTAAGGTCCTTTATAAATTTTATGAAGTTTGGATCATGGAATGTAATTTCCTATGTTTGTCTGAGAGAAAATTTAATTATCAAGTCATTTGCTACTATGAAAGTATTCGGCTTTCTTATTTCTCTATTTGACTTAATATTTAAGCACCTACACATTCAACTTGCCTTTAAACAAGTCACACCTTGTATAATCCAAATTTTCACTGTTTTTAAAGACCTAGACCCAATTTACAGGACTGCATTTTATGAACAGACTTGCTGCTAAACTTAAATAAACACTAACAACAACAATTCTGCAATAGTAATAGTGATGTACAATCATAATCTGCAGCATATAGAATTCACCAACTCATCAAATATTCAAATATTATCCTTCATGGTTGCTCTCCTGAACTGCCAGCCGACTTATATCTCTCATATGCTAGCCTTGCTAGCTTACCAGCTCTGTCATGTGCATAACTGAACATTTTGTGAATAACCTTCTTCACCATTTCAATTGCCAGAATGCAGTAAAGGAAAATGGCCAGTGTGATTAGGTAAAGAATGAGCAAGGACAAAGCATTAGGTGACATAGAAACTGAGAGAGTTATGTAAGTTATCATCATCGAAACAAGAGCAACCGGCAGCAAAACTCTGACATAGGACCCTTTTCCGTAGAAGAATATGAGTAAGACCGCGGCGAAAAACCCGGCTGTGTTGAAAGACATGAATAAATAGTAAGTGATATCTGGACAGGAATGAGATGGGTTGGTTCTGTGGAAGATGCACTTAGGATGGTTCTTCATGTCTTCCTTCCAGATTGTTTGAGGAGGTGAAAGGCCAGCTTGGTAAGTGACTGTGGCTATTAAACTGGCCACAACTAGTACCATTTGGTCTAAACTCTCAAATATGCCCTTCTTAGATTTCTCTTCTGTTTGCCGGGAAGTCACTGTTGTTGTGTCTGCATTATTGCCGTTCTGTGTTGTGGCTTCAGGTGTCTCGAACTTAGTTTCTGATAAAAGGACCTCTAGAGTGTTATTGTCTTTGTTAGTTTTGCCTTTGAATCCCAACAACTCCAGGACCTGCCGAAGTATTTCAAAAAAAAAAAAAAATCAGGACACTGTCAATTAGAAGATGATTATCACTAAAATCACTATGTAGTCTATGTCAATAAACTTCTCAATTACCAAATACTTCCTTTAATCCTAAATATAAGAGTTATTTAAGAGGGTTTGTTTGGTTCTAAATATAAGACTTCAGTTCAATTTGTCTTTCAAATTTATAATTTTTTTCTCTAAACCACCCCTATCATTGCACATATTAAAAGAATTTCTATTAATGAGATATTTTTCAAAGCAAATGATTAAAAAGAGTTTTCCTAACATATATTTTTTTTTACAAATAACTAACTTAACAAATTTCATTAATCTTTACGAATTAGTTATCCAAATCTTATATTTGTGACCAAAGGAAGTATTTGATTATCAAAATCTCTAGCTAGGTGTACCTCCTTAATGACTTGCTATCAATAATAACAGTGTACATTTGTGTCTGTTTGTATATAACTATTTATTTAGCTGGTGCATTGACTATTAGCTGTTGACTTTAAGTTCACCAGTTAGTCAATCTATAAAAACCGAACAATTGCTTTAAGCAAATATTAGTGAGTTGTTCTTTTTGATGTTATTATGATGAAGAACATCGGCAATAAAAAGGAAAAAAATAAAATCATGAAGGTAAATTCAATTCCATATATCTGATTCAGGCCAAAAAAAAAAAATCATCATATTTGTATTATCGAGAAGCTATTTCCATGAATAAGATAGTCCTGTATGTGCTCACATAATCTTAGATTCAGAATCCTTCAATTGAAATCTCTAATTAAACTCATCTAAATTATTCAGCTATAATTTTACTGCATATGAAACAGGATGATGCGGAGCTTGAAAAGAAAAATAGCAATTTTATCATATAATCTTACTTGGAGTTGTTCCGTAGCCATAGCAATCTCCAGGGCTGTTCTTCCATCTTTGTCCCTTGAGCTCATAATCTCATCATCTTCCCCACAAAACTTCATCAAAATCCTAACTGCTTCAAACTGGTGATTCTTCACAGCAAGGTGAAGAGAAGTCTCACCTTGAGCAGTGACTTGTTTGGCTGCATCAGGACAGAAGGATACCAACTCTTGAATCACACCAACCCTTCCTCTTATGGCTGCATGATGAAGTGGGTTCATCCCAAACTTGTCCTTGAGGAGGCACAGGTTAGGCCCAAGCTTCAATGATAATAGCTCTCTCACTACCTCAGTGCTTCCTTTGGCTGCGGCTATGTGCAAAGGAGTGAAGCCATCTTTGTTCAGTTCCTCTGCAAAAGAAGGCTTTAGACTCAGAAGTTCTCTTACATAGTTGGCTCTCCCTGCAAGCGTAGCAATATGCAATGGAGTTTCTGCAATCTGAGATAAAGCAACTCTGTCCAATATCAGGGGATCGCCTTCTAGTAATTCATTAAGCGCGCCTGTGTCTCCCAGTTGAGCGGACTTTACCAATCTTGGATCCATCAGGATAAAACACAGGGAAAAAAAACTATATCTTTCAAAGAATGAGTTCTCTATATATATAATCTCTGGTATCAAGGATATTCTCGAGCTTTGTCAGAAGTTAAAAGTAGTATTTTTCAATTATCTAACAAGATTTTTTTTTTTTTTTTTATGGAGACTATGCATTTAAGATTTTGTTTCTAGAGCTTTCGGAGAAATCAATACGAAATTGATTGAGAGAAAGAAAAATATCGAGGGGGTTAACCCATCTAGATGTCATGTTCAGATTCAGATTAGATCACTGGAAAAATAATTGACTTGCTGGTTGTAGTCAATTCTGCCATTATGCAACAAACAGGCCAAACTTCCAGCAAAAACTGACTTTTTGGTATTTGTTTGTTCTACAAGCACATATTAAAACCACCCTTCAACTACTGTCATCTCCCAGTCTGTAGTTCAAAACATAACAGAAAAAAAAAATCGATATATATAACCAGAACAATTTACTAGCCTCGAATTACTACTGTTGAGTCGTTGTATATATATGTTCTCTCAAAAATGCTTGCAATTTTTATCCCATACTTTGCGAGGGATCTAGGCTTATTGGGTATGATAAGGTTAAATAACCAGAACAATTTTCATTTGTATATTTTATATTTGAAAGATTACGATATGAAATTTTGAATAAATTAAGATATTAAAAGACTAATTTAATCAAATAATACGATGAAAAATATTAGCTCACTTGTGTTACAATTGGGAAAAAAATTTTCGGGTTCAAAACTTCTACTACATTTTGTATGATGATGATCTTATCTTTTTCCTTCAACTCTCCAACGTGGCAAAAATGTTAAACAACTTTTTTTTAATGATAAACAATCAAATCCATTAATGGATGGCTAAACAGTTTATTAATTATAAATGTAACATAAAATTTAAAGAAAAAGAACTTTAACTTCGGAGGGTTACCCTTACACTTTTTGTAAATTTTTATCGTATAGTTTGAAGAAGTTTTTGGTACCAACATCCATCAATAGATTTGATTTGCGGTTTTGAAAACCTTGATATTTTTTCATTCAAATATAACTTCTTAAGTTTGATTCCATAAGAATATTTAACTATAAAATTGTCTATGTTTGACAATAAGAAACCTTCCATATTTTCCATAAATATGGAGGTTTACAAGATACACAAGTTTCAAACATGAGTGAACCACAGGCAAAGTTACACAAGAATGTATGCATGAGTTTGAAGACCCTTTTATTACATGAGCATTTGGTTTTTGCTATCATCACATGACACACAACAAAAAGTTGTACTTTTCAAATCTTAGACCTGTACTGATTATTACAAGAAAATGTACATCAAAACTCAAAGCTATACTAAATTCTATGTTGAAACTATGGAAGCATTCACAATCAGTGAAAAAAGACGATCATGGTATTGGACCTTTTGAAGTGTCCTTGTTGTTATTTGTATCTTGTGTTGTCTGTATGTTTGTGCACCTTGGATGGTGAGAGTTCAAGGATTGAGCAACTCAACGAATTCGGTTAACATTTGAGAATGGCTCAGATCTTGATTTTGGAGCAGGTTTGGTTGCTTCTGGAGCTCCAAACACATTCCAGAATCTCAATGTTTCATCTGCTGCTGCTGATGCCACTGTACAACCATCTGGGCTCTGCAGTGAGTTGAAAGATTTAACATAATCAGAGAAAGGTTTATAATAATAATAATCTTGCAAGATTGAAAAGGATAAAAGTTTTGTGCTTCAAGAAAACCACTATCTGCAAACCCACCTGAGCCAAATAAAGAACTCTAGAAGTATGACCATTGAGCTCAGCCAATTTGACCATTGATGGGTATTTCCAAAGTGTCAGCTGATTCTGAGTAAATCCATGAGAGCTTAGCAACTCCTTCTCATTCTTGTTCCACAACAAGGCACAAACCTGAGACCCAGTGTCAACTGAGTTCAAGCAAGCACCAGTGTGGGTATTCCAGAACTTAATGCATCTATCTCCACTTCCCCCACCAGTAGCGAGCAAGTTTCCTTGGAAAGGGCACCAAGCAAGAGCTTTTACTGCAGATGTGTGTTCTTCTAGTCTGTGAAGCCATTGTGTAGCTGAGTTAGAAGAGGCCATAGCTCTGTCCCATATGAAAAGCAGATTGTCATTTCCTCCGCTGGCTAATTGTTGACCTGATGCTGACCATTTCAGCCCACAAACCTCTTGTTCATGTCCTCTGTAGGTTTCGACAATGTGCGATCTAATTCTTACATCGTTGTTCACAATTCTACCATCCATTCCTCCTGTAGTAAGTATGTGATTGTTCCATGCCAGAGACCCTACTCGCTGCCTATGACCACCTCTCAGAGTTCTCAACTGCAGAAACAAACAAGTGATAACAAGAAAGAAAGTTAGGCCAAGAACAGATATAACATACGAATATGTTATACAAACAAGTGAGATTCTTATTAAGACAAAAACCTGTCGATTTGAAGCGGTGTCCCAAAGTTGCACCTCGGAATTGTTCAAGCCAACAGCGATATGCCTTCCATCTGGAGCCCAGCTAATGCTGGTGATAGGCCCGTTTTCATCATCAGCAGTGACAAGTTCGGAAGTAGATCCGGTACTAGCGTCCCATAAGTACACTGTGTTTCCGAGTGCTATTGCTAGAACATTGCTGCTTCCCCATTCAAGTAAATTCAGGTAATAATCATCCACAAGGTCTGGAGCATCCAATGTCCTCTCGGAACTCTGCATAACCAATAAATATGTCAGAACAGAAACGTGGAATGTGGTTCAGAAAACTCAGACCATCAAATCCACACAACTTGAATAGTATTGAAATACATCCTTTCTCAGGCCCAAAGAACTAGCCCCTTTAACTAGTGAAACGCAAAATTGAGTCTAATAAGTTGCTAGTGTTTCAAAACGAATTGAACTTTTCTGAGGGAGTTTATTCAAGACATACGAGCTCAATTGAAATCTATTGTAGAATAATCAGATCTTAGGAATGTACCTGAGGAATAAACCGTCTGGGCTTAGCGGATTTATCATGAAGAGTTGTGGTGGACTCGCGTGGGATTAATTCAACTGGTTCAGGCGGCTTGTTCTTGAAAGCTAAAATTCGCGTCCGGTTCATGTTCATGGCTTCTGCAAGCTGCTTCTTGTAGGCTGAGGGTGAGGTCGCGCAGGGATTTTCCTTACCTTTTGCCCCTTCTGTGAGCATGTAGTGTGCGTAATCGAAGTCCATGGCTGAACGGTTTGGTATAAATCTATCCAACTGGTGATATTTGCATTAACAAGAAAGCAAAATAAAAAAGCCATTAGAGACTAGAGTTTAACGACAGAAACCCCAGTTTCTTCAAAATCAAACCCTTGATTTAGCGATCGAAAGAAAAACCAAAACAGTTGGTTGAAATTTGGCATCGCAGGAAAAGCAAATGATTCACGGAAAATAACATGTAAAGAAACCCCCAAAATGCGGGAAAGAAGGTTTCTTACATTTTCTCGGGAATTCTTTCTCTGAATAAACTGCTCCTGAAGAGGGCAACGAGATTGTGTTTTTAAATTTGCGGAAGAACTCAAAGATCCTGCATCCATTATTCAAAACACAAAACGAAGCGCAACAAAAACCAAACAGAATATACAATAGAAAAACAAAATAATAAGCAAAAGAAAAAAGAGATCACAAAGATCACGAATCTAGAAGGAGTCCCTGCAAAAACGATGGTTAGAGGAGAAATAACAATAGAAAATGAGAAAAATTGCGAGAACTGATCAAGTGCTGAGAGCGCTGCAGTGAAGAGGGCTGAGAGAAGAATGAATGTGAGAGATGAGAAGGATTCAGTGGGATTATATAGTGAGTGTTTCTGCGTTTCGAGGGAAAAAAAAAAAGACTACTTCCGCAGGCTAGGAAGCTTGATAACGGCTATGTTTCAAGAAAGTAGCCGTTATAATTTGTAATGACCTAAATGTCTTTTTTCTTTTTTCTTTTTTTCCCGAACACACACTCTCTCTCCCAGATTTTGAGATTTCTCCACACAAAAAATTCCAGCTGGAACTTCGGAAAACAATATTATTTTTTCTATTAATTTTTTGAGTTATTTATTATTTTTTATCCTCAGAAAATATCTTGTTTATAATTTTTTTAGTTACAATTTATATCTTCCTCTCCCAGCTTTTGAGATTTTTTTTTTCAATAAAACTCGAGTTGGAACTTTCGAGTTTGGACGGAGATCTCGAAAGCAATATTATGTTTTATACTATTTTTTGTTTGTTGAAGTTAATTCTGCTTTGCTTAAAGTGTAAGACAATAATATAAAAAGCTGTTTCTTCTAAGGAAGTGAGAAAATGAAGAGAATGGACGGGAGCTATTAGCCTATTACATTCAAACGTTCACGGTGAGGGCTGATAAAAAAAGACTTTGGACCTGTTTGACTTATAAGTATATTTCACGTAATTGAGATAAAATTATTCTCACATACTTATATAGTATTCAGTAAATCACGATTGAAAAGTTACTTATAAATTATTCTAAATCAACCATTTGTCTTAAACTTTTAACTACTAATTCTCATCCTTAAGAACTAATTGAATTTGATTCTAAATATAAAACTTCAATCCACTTTTATCGTTCATATTTATTATTGTTTTCCTAAACGATTTTTATTGGTTGTACATGTTCAAAGAGGTGAGTCTCAATACAAATGATTTAAAAGACATTTTAAAGAAAACCAATATACATTTTTTATAAATAACTAAATTAATTTATTTTTTAAATTTATTTAAATTATTTAAGTAGAATTTATATTAAAAATGTGAAGAGGTAGTAGTTTGTAATCTTCTTTTATTAATAGATCTGTTTGTCATTTTTAAAAAAATCCTCAAACATATTATGTCAAAAGCCTTTTCACTAGCTAGTAATTGAAACTAAGTTATTTAGTTTTGTTTATGAGAGGGAGCCTCGCACACACCACTGTCTCTAAGTTGATGCCTTGTTAAAACCATTCTGGGACCAAAGACAAA